TATCAGACAGACTGTCAATAGCTGTGTTGTTGTTGTATTAATATCTGTATGTTTTTATCAGACAGACAGTCAATAGCTGTGTTGTTGTTGTATTAATATCTGTATGTTTTTATCAGACAGACAGTCAATAGCTGTGTTGTTGTTGTATTAATATCTGTATGTTTTTATCAGACAGACAGTCAATATCTGTGTTGTTGTTGTACTAATATCCAGATGTTTTTTTTAATGAGACACTGTCAGTAGCTGTGTTGTTGTTGTACTAATATCCAGATATTTTTTTTTAATGAGACACTGTCAGTAGCTGTGTTGTTGTTGTACTAATATCCAGACGTTCTTTTTTTCAATGAGACACTGTCAGTAGCTGTGTTGTTGTTGTTGTACTAATATCCAAATGTGTTGTTGTTCTTTTATCAGGCGGGCTGTCAATAGCTGTCCCTGGAGAACTCCCTGGTTATGTTGTTGCATGGCAAGAATATGGAAAACTCCCCTGGACAGAATTGTTTCAACCTGCCATAGAGATGTGCGAGAACGGGTTTTTAGTGGAACGTCAGCTTGCACGTGCTCTGACTTTGAACAAAGAACTCATACAGAATGAACCTAGTCTACGGTAAGAACGGTGAATAGTAAAATTAAAACAAAATACATATTTAATTTTTGTTTAATGACCTTTGGCAACACTAAAGCCAAACTTTATATCATTACAGTAGTAAAACAAGGTGGAGAATGTAAGGGCTGGCTTTGGGCGTTTTAGCGCCCTGGGCAAAGTTTTGAAATGTGGCACGTGGCGGAATAAGACCTAACAATATTATTATCTATATATACATGTATAACTATAGCTAAACCAAATGTAACATCTTCTGGTAAACTTTTACTTTAGCTACTTGTGTTTTACTTCGAAATTTTTTAAGTTTAGAAGCATTCGTTAGGAGTAAATAAATTATAACAAATTTTGCGAAATGCTTCTTTAAGTTTCTCTAATTTAATAGTAGCTTATCTTACACTTCCTTTCTTTAACATTTTTACAGCACGTTCTTCTGGAACAATAACACTGGTGACGTTTACAAAGAACACGAGAGGCTGCGCAGACCTGTCCTTGGCCAAACTTTGCGCACACTTTCTCAAAACAGCACCATCACAAAGTTCTTTGGAGAACTAGAAAAAACTCTTCCAGAGGAAATTCGTAGTTTTGGTAAGTTTTAAATTTAGTTCATTCGTATCTATTTTAAAACTATCTATACCTACAACACGATACATTATACCAACAACACGATACATTATACCTACAACACGATACATTATACCTACAACACGATACATTATACCAACAACACGATACATTATACCTACAACACGATACATTATACCAATAACACGATACATTATACCT